CCACCTGCAGGAAAAGCACAGCAGGAGCCAGGTGCAGGGAGTAACTCTACTGAGGATCTTTCTGCGAGCCAGGTGAAGATTACTGGATCAGTAGATAATCTCCCCAAATTTCTAAAACTGTACTAATTCATACAAGCATTCATAAATTGGGATGCTTCTCTGAACTGCCCAGACTCCCCGACTCTAAAAAATAGGATTAGAAATCTCAAAGGAAAGAGCCTTTCTCACGAGAACCTCTGCACTTCGTGTGCTTCTTGTGATCAAAACTGAGGGGTGAAAGAAAGTGTAATGAGAGTGGGCCATGAGCTCGTCAACAGGGATTGATCCAAGGCTCTTTCAGATTGAATTCAGCTGCTGCTGAGTTCAGGGCTAAATTAGCAGTGGCTTAGATGGAGGGGGCAGTACGAGGGTGCTGAGGTTGATAGGGCTGCTACATGCTTTATTCTGCGAGATATTCCCAATTAGACTTCAGAGGACTTACAGCAATATCCAGCAATTAATGGGAGGTTTTTTTCAGTGGATTTCAGGTATGTGAAAGGGGTTTTTCATCTCAGAGCAGCAGATGAGATCTCCCTAGATCTGCAGCATGTTGCTGTATTCAGACAAATTCATTCTAGATGCAAAGCTGTGGGTTTGCAGGAAGTTCTGGGCACGTACTTTTGGCCCTGATTATTTATGTTGTGCTTAAAATTTGGAGTTTTCTCATGCAGAATTGAAACATTGTGCAAATATGCCAATTTACACATCATTTTCTATGGGAAGTTGAATTGTTTCATTTCAGTGGTGTCCTAAATCTGTTGTTTCAAGACAGTAAATCTGCATTTTTTTTCTATGTTATTGTTATGCTTCATTTCTTTTGATCAATTTTATTATATCATAATTCACATTGTCTCATACTTCAGATTTCATATCACAATGTTTAGGATCATCTAAACAACATTTTTACTTCATCAGAATGATAAGTTTTGAAATTATTGAACTTGGATGATGTAGCTGTGTTGAAACAAGCCACCATGCAGTGTCCAATATAGAAAATATTCAGAATTCCTGCTTCTCTGGGTTTTTTTGTTTTTGTTTTTTTTTTTTTTTTAATTATTATTATTCAGGCTTTTTTCCTGAGCTAGAAGTTCCAATGGGGAGGGGCAATATTTCCCAAACAATGGAAATCCCATTTTCAAACCAGTTACAATCTCATCCCACAGTTAGTCTGGGATTTTGCAGGGAAGAAGTTTCCTTTCAGTATCAGTAAGGTTTGTGAATGAATCCTTGGTATCTCACAACACATTCCCCTTTCCCCAGATATCAGCCTAGTGACACATGGGTGTATGATCACGCCATTTCCAAGGTGAAGCACTTCACAGGTTTTGACAGCACTCTTTTTTTTATTTTTCTTTTTGCTGTAGCAGCTTCATTTTCCATAATTTTACCATCTGGCACTAAGAAACTGTGTAAACCATCCTTACACACACAGAGAGCTCAGGAGGACTGATGATTACAAGGCTGGGGCTTCAAAGGATCCATTTCTGGATCCTTCCAAAATGAAATCCTTTGGGCAGTGTCCATCACAGACATTCCTGCTCTCTCGCAGACTGGACCCTGCCTCTTCGTTAGCACTGGGGCAATACTTACACTTGTAACCAAAATCATGCTGTCAAATTCCTAGCCCTTCAGCTTATGGGCAGACTTAAAAAATGTGAAGCCATCAGAGCTTTTTAGATTTTTATATTAGCAACTTGCATGTAAATACATGCAAATAGATGTAAATAGACAGACACTTTCTGCATCCCAGGTTATTAAAGGAGCTGCTGCTCATAAGAGGATTTTCATAATAAGGCTAAGGATCCCACAACATCTATTAAAACATGGTTACTGTAAATTACACTAAATATGGGGTTGTTATCCTTGACAGAGCTTTGCAGGGAATTAAGCTGTTTCTCCCACATCATCTCCTGTCTCTTCTCCATTTCTTGCAGTAGCTGTTAGGGCAACTCAGTGCAGAGGGAAAAATAGTTCCTGTGGCAGCAATATCCCCTGGGACAGGTCCAGCTGGAGGGGAGGAAGCAGAAAAAGCCACTGGGCTGGTTTCTGTAGAAGTGCTCGGAGGAGCTCATGCCCTACTGGGAGGTCCGGTGGCCTCTTGGGCAGGAGCCCCGGGAGAGTGGGCAAGGAGGAGGTGGCCTGAGCTGTGCCCAAGCAGCCGTGACCCTTGCAGCATTATTGCAATCTCACCTGCTCGTTCTGCAGCCCATTCCTTCCTTCCTTCGGCCCTAAACAGGAACATCCACCACCAGCCCCAGCACACACTCAATCACCAACATCTTCTTTCCATTTCCCTCCGTCCTCTGCCTTCCCACACTTCTTGGGGAGTGTGTGTTTGGGGGGTTCCCCTTGCACTAACAGACTGGTCATACTTTGTCAAGGAAGAAAATCCCTTGACAGACCTTAATGTAGCCCATAAAATCTTCCCTTTCCCAGGATGCGACCAATTGTCACTCTGTACTGGGACTGAAGAGACGTTCTGGCTCCAGCCCAGGTCCTCCCAAGCATCCACTGGAGTGAGGGGAGAGGGAAGCAGGACTATCTGTTCCGCTTTTTGTGCAAGAATAAGATTACATTGCCCTGGCAGGTCTTCAGGCTGCCTTTCTCCGCTGCTCCAACTGGGAGCACTGGCTCCCTTTCTGCTCCCGTGAACAGCCGTGTTCCGGCCCCTCCACTCGCCGGCCCCCACCCGCTTGCAGCCCGGGGGCTGAGCGTGCCGCAGCTTGTGCCCGCCGTAACGCAGAGCAGCGCCTGCACACCAACAACGTTAAAACAAAGCCCGGTTTAGTCATCCCTGCAATCTGCAGAGGAGGCAGAGAGACCCCACACGTGTTTTTCCTCAGCCAAATTTAACGCCTCCATCCTGCGCTCCGGCGGGTCCAGTGTGTTCTACCTCCTTAAGCCATGAGGAACCGCTTGTGTTTCACACAATATTGGCTTTTTCTCCCTTGAATAATGTCTTCTCAGTCTGTCAGATCTCTCTCTATCGTACCATGGGTAGTTTTTGTCTCCAGCCAGCCTCCTACCCCCCATTGCTTTTTTTTTACTGGGGGCTACACACTGCATGGGGAGAAATATCCTTTGATGTGAGGAAGGGGTAGGACACCATAGTCCGGGTGGAGCTGGCTCTAAATTCTCCCCTCCTTGCCAGTCCAGCCGTTGTTCTCGGTGCTCCTTTGAAGCTTTGTACCGGAGGCTGTTTTATCTGCATCTGCTTTACCTTTCTTGCTAATTCTTCAGGAAATGTTTTGCAGCTTCCTTGGATTTAACTCTGACCAGCCTGGCAGAAACTGTTATGAAACCCAAATAGGAAACCAGGTCATTTGGGATGGAAATGAGAGCGTGTCCCCTGTTTGCCACGGCTGCAAATAGTTGGGAGCGCCCTGGGGCATGCAGAGCACCCCAGGCATCTTACAGATGGTGAAACTGGGGAGTTCACCACCCCAGGCTGCTTCAGTGGTCAAGGGGAAGAAAGAGATGTCTCCAGAGGGTTATTCAGAGTGCTTGGTTTGATATCCTCAACAGAGCTGATGTGGTAGGTGCCTACAGCTGGCTGACGGCCTGCGTAGATGCTGTGCTGCCCAGCCAGACACAAGGAGGAGCTGCTGTGAAGTGTTTTGTGCATGTGGTCATAGCTCTTGCATCAAACCAAGAGCCTCAAACCCCTCCATATTTCCATAGCGAACTGGGGGGAACCACATGCGCGACATCCTAGCTGTCCCCTGGGGTGGCAGAGGGCTCAGGCTCAAACTTTTGAGAGAGAGGAGGAAAGGAAGGCTCTTTTTTCAACTGGCATCCCTATTAAATTGCCTAAGAAAGAGCCCAAATCTTGGGATTCAGGTGAGGATAGAGACACGAGGTGACGGAAGATGTGAATTTGTGAGGAGGAGGAGACAGCAGGGCTAAAGTGACATTTAGTTGATCAGCTTTTATTACTGGAAGGCTTAATGAGGAGCACCAAGTAGAGCAACTTGATCAGCTTGTTCCCCTCCAGACGGGCCGGAGCACACCCCACATGTGCCCCTCTGGCCAAGCCCCAGACACAGCCCTCACCCAGCCCCAAAGGGGGGCTGGCGGGGGTCCAGCGCCGCACCCCGGTTCTTATTCCCCAATCTGGGGGGCAGATGGGATCTCGTCTGGCCTTCATCTGTGCTCTGCCTTCCTCACACCTTTACAAGACACGCTGGATCCTGCCGGGATGAAGACATTAGCCTGGGTCTCACTGCCGCTCTCCGTGGGAGGCACAGCAGAACCTTATGTTAAGGTATCGAATTAGTGCTGCCTGAGTGTTGGGGAGCTCGCGCGTCTCTTACCGGGCGAGGTATCCGACAGCACGGCAAGATGTTACAGCAATACCAAACTGTCAGAGGAACTTACAAAATTGCAAAATCGTGCACACACAGCCGGAGCGGTGGGAGCCACACGAACCCGTTTAGCTTGCGGCAGCGCTGGGGCTCGGGGAGAAGGAGCATCTTGCTGTTCTCAGACATTTCTAGCACTTCGGTCCTAAGAACCAGACCAGCAGGTCATTAACAGGAGCTGTTAATGGGCCGTTGCCCTGGGCGGCCGTGGGACTGCAGGCTCTGCCCTAAGGTCCCTGCACGGCCATGGAGGGAAACTACACAGTACCTGCTTTTCTGTGGCAGCTGTGTTCTCCTCCAAAACTCTCCAATCAGTTACGCAAATATGGACTGATCCCTGCAGTGCCCTTCCGGGGCACCGTAAGATGATTTTAAGAGACGGTGTGATGCAGTTGCCTCGGAGTTGGGAGTCCTGCCCCGTGCTGCAGAGCTGCGGTGGCACCGGGCTTGCGTGGCAGGTCCTGTCTGCTGTCACCAGCAGCAGGCTGCTGACACGGCCGTGTGGCTTATGGTTTATTCATGCCCATGAGCTCCACTGGCAAGAAAGGCTCTTCTGTCCTTCAGTGCAATTGCACAACAGATTAGAGAGTGACAGGGAGCTTTCCAGGGCCCCACATGCTTAAGGAGCAAAGTCAGAAGAATTTGCATGCTAGCTTTGTGCTTGTGAAGGGAAGTCATCTCTAGAGCAACTTGACAGGCCATGTTCCAGCATGCTTGGCAATAAGGTGACCTCCCACCTCGGCTTGCTCCTGAGGCACGATAGGAAGAGCCACTTCTCTTGCACCTTTCCTGTGTAGATTAAAAAACAGCTGTTAGTGAAAGGGAGCTTTAACAGACTGTTGAAAAAGACCTGTAAATTGAAGGAGCATCTGCTTAGGAAATTGTTGGATCACAGTCAGGCCCAGAAGCAGCCTTACAGCCAGGAGCCTGGGTTTACTGGATGAACGAGAACCTGTGATTACAGGACAGCTGCCAAGATTTACTCATCTGAACCCCTTCTGCACAGGGTCAAGAAATAGAAGAGCTTTTCTCCCTTCCCTCAAAATACTACTTTTTTTTTTTTTTTTTTCCATAGAGAAAATCAAACATTGAAAAATGATCAGTCAAAACTGGGAAATATTTCAGTATAGAAATTCCACTTCAGTGTTCTGGAGCACTGTCAGTATCTCAGCCACCCTCCTACAGTACTGAGACTACCCACCGTAGTCCATCCTGGGTATCCTGGCATGTTCTTGAAGACTTAGAATGGAGTTCATGTCATTTAGCTTTATCTATCTAAAAGTTAGGTGCTGTAAATAGTCATTTCGGACTCCCTCCAGAGCTGAATGAAACAAGCAGGCAGCTCTGCGTGATCATTCATCCTGCATATGCTGGACATCCACCTGAGGATGGAAGAAATCACCCTTTGGAGATACTTTCATCCGATGGCAAACATTTAGCTAGCTCACCCTGCTAAGGTAAACCCAGGTAGATCCAACCTGGGCAGGTCAATCTGGTTGGGGAATTATACCCAGGGAGTGAATAAAAGGGATGGGATGCCCACATTCCCATTCCCATAGGTGTTGCTGTAGTAATCAGAAACAAACACACGTGGTTTAATGCCGCTGTCTAGATGAGCATTACAGAAAGTCCCTTCAGCCATCTCATGGACAACCTATTCAACAGGAAAGATGTAGCAGTAAATTTAAAAGTGTGTCAATTCATGTATTTGTTGTATACAAGCAGTGGGTGAATGTGATATTAGAAGTGGCTAAATTCTGTTTATAGATGTTTGCCCTTGAGTCTTCTGCTTGTAACAGAGTCATAAGCCTCCATATGTTTTTAAACGCAATAGGATTCAAAGACCCACACTGTCTTAACACGATTACCCTGACTTCCATTCCTCTTCTTTAATCACTAGACCTCACTCCCAGGGGCTATTTGTAATTCGCAGTTGGAGTTTATGCACTGTCTTTGAACAAAGAAATTTGATTTTTTTTTTTTCCTTTTAGTTTCCTCTTAAATCCTGACAGGTTTAAAAAAAAAAAAAAAAAACCAAAAAACCCAAACAAAAAAAAACCAAACTAAAAAATCCTAATGTTTTCATGAGAAGCTGAAATTTCTCATGGAAAAGGAGATACTTCTGGCAAGCTGAGCATAATAATTATATGAAAGCTGAAGGAAAAAATAAATCTTTGACCTATTATTGTTAATTCATTGTTGTTATCATTGTTGTCCAAGACAGTGCTCCATTGCAGCAGGCACTGCACAGATACAGAACATCAGCAAAAGTAAAATAATTTAATGCAGTGTACTGCATTCAGCAGCAAAATTAGAAAAACCTTTCTTTTTTTATTCAAGCACTTGAGTGCATACCAAAATTTCTATTTCCAGTGGAAAATGTTCAAAATGTAAAACCAGTAAGTTTGGAGAAGACATCAGAAAAAAAAAAGAAAGCCTTTCCTGTTTCTTCAAACCTGCCAATCAATTAAGTGTGCTCTTTTGAAGTTAACTATTTGTGAAAGCATTTACTGAAAAATTCCTAACTCGGAATTAAAACTGTGACACAAACCCAAATCACGAGGCTGGTTTTGCCAACCTGCTCACCTCCCTTCCCGAAGTAGCGGTTCGGCTCTGGTGGAGTTGCCAGTGCAGCTATGTGACATTTCCAAGAAGTTAAAATGTTATTTTCAAAACAAGGCACATTTTTCAAACTGCATTCTGTGTTTATACCAGCAGGTCAAGATTTGGATTTGATTCAGCTTTGATTACACTGCTGATTTAAGGTGTTGGGAGGAAATTTCAGCTTTATTCCACCCAGAAGCATCAAGTGAACCATCTGGCCTACCTAAAATACCTCTCCTAAGAGGAGATGAATTGCTCTCAGAGCTGCTTGATTCTCTCCATTGCCTGTACAGATAGCCTGGCTCAACTTGGGTTTAGATAACCAAATTAGGACCAATAAATCTCACCTTTAGGGATGTTAACTCAACCCCCTGGCTGATGACACTTCTATATCTAAACTTGCTACGGAGTTGGTGGGTGCCCTCAGGCAAACTCATCACCTCTTTCTATCTCTTTTCCTTTCTGCAGCTCATCTGTCCTGTTCCAGTTTCTCTGGGGCTCTGTGGCTGGGGGCCTGCGTTGGGTCTGTTCATACTGCAGCCATAGTTACAGCAAAAAGCTGGAAACATCCCCCCCAACCTGCTAGCTGAAATGTTTTTGTCCTCCCCACTCACCGGTGGTTATTGCTCGGGAGTGCAAGGATATGGGCCACAGTAGGACAGTGCTGGATAATCCACGCACAAATTCAGCTTTACCTCCAAGATATCCCTATGACTCCCAAGGGCACCCTAAAGTGTTGCTGTTGGTACCTACAGTGAAATATTTAGGCTGGCTTCTTTTCATATGAAGGCTGTGATATATTATACAGGCTGTTGCAGAGAAGAGATTCACATATATAAAGCGTTACTCACAAGGTTGTTTGCAAGTCGTAGGGGAGGCTGGTGTCATTTTACCAGTAAAATTGGGCCCTGCCGAGCAGAGGATCACAGCTGCGGAGCAAACTCTGGGTAGGGTGCAGTGTTGCTGCAGCAGTTTCAGACCTGATCCTGGAGTCGTGCTGGAGCATTGAGGTTAAGTTCTTTGCTTCAACGGGGAAAAATATTTTTAATTGCCATGTCGGATGAGGCTGCTTGGCCTTTGATGGCTTCTCTGAAAGATGGATTTCCGTGGCTGCAGCTCCATCAACGAAATACTTATCTAAATACAAATGATACATTCAGTTTGTAATCGTGCATTAATTAAGGTAGCCAAGCAATGCCCACATTTTGTCAGCAACTAGAAAATATAACAAGCCTCTCAGGTAATGAGTTTCACTCACATATACAGCAGTTCGCTGAAATAATGAGCTTTGGAAACAATCCGTAGGTGCTGACTAGATATTGATGTTATGAACTCAATGACCCTGTTCCAGGCAGGTCGTGTTTTTCACACAGCATCTTCCCTTCAGGTGCAAGCTTCCTCTCATCAGGGTAGTAATTCAAACTCTGCAGTACACCGACACGCACAGACATCCTGCTTTGCTGTCGTGCCATACAGCCACAACCAGAACCTTCTCCCCCAGCCTTCAGTGTTGCGGGTGTTTTGCAGGATAAATTACAACCTGGTTCTTAACCCCTCCCTCCCTATGGGTTTTCGCTGCTCAGATTAAACTCAATCATTGAGAAAAGCCAGAATTTAGTGAGGCCCCTGTTATGTTGGAAGGTGGGATTGTACTTCTGCGCTTCTTTTGGTCACTTGGAAAATGATGCTTCAGATAAAAGTGAATCTGACTTGCTGTGGCCTCTCTTCTGTCAAACTCAGCCAGCTTAGTGCATGCTTGCTGCAGAGGGACTTCTGTTTTGTATGTTGGTCCCTCAGTGTCCTCAGTTCTTGAAGGGTCTTTCCTGTCCATTTTGCTTAACTGCATGCAGTCCAGGAGAGAGGCTGGAAAAGTCTCTTTTGCCCATTTCCCACCACATTTCAACAAAAGCAGCTCTTAAGAGCCACTGTAAGAAACCTTTAGGAGGTGAAAATGTCCACTGGATTCACCAAGAGTGATCTGATATTTTCCCTCATGAGGAAATACAAATCAAGATGCTTTAGAGTCAGACACATCACCTGCCTCACAGCTAAAATAAAGGCAGATGAAGAGTTTAGTAATCTGTGGTATCTGTGCCTGATTTGCTTTGATTTACTGCAAGTAGCTACTGACAGAAACACAGCCTTTCCTGCCATCTTTCCTGGAGTGAACTGATGCAGCTGTACATGTGCAAGAGAAAAAGAGCATTTCAGCTTTGGTTTGCTTGACCTTGGGAGGATGGATGACTTTGATCAGTGAGCTGGGTTTTTCCCAAAGTGTCCTCGCTTCTTCCATCAGACAGAGGAAGGATTTCAGTGTGTTTGGTGTGGATCAATGAGTGGATAGCAAAGTAAAAGGTCGGAAAGAGAGAACAAGGCCTCCCCAGGATGGCACTGAGCCTTGGCAAGCAAGAGGGGAAAACGAAAAATGTCACAGCAGCCAGCATCAGGGCTCAAACCCAGGAATTCCTGTAATGGGATTACACAAGGCAGGAGCAGATGGACCCTCTTGGAAAACAAAACCATGCAACCAACACTGAGCCTGGGTGTGCTCCCACGGAGAGGAGATGCAAGCAGAAGAGAGAGCAAGGGCTCTAATCTAATATATGGAGGCAGCTGGAACAAATTCAGGGCTCCCGACCCAGCACCCAGCAGTGAGCAAGCAATATTTTTAGAGGGGCGCCTCTAACTTGTTCCCGCTATGTGTGTGTACCAGAGATAAGAGGGAGTGAGAATGGGATCCGTTTATTTAACTATGTAAACAACTCAGCTGACAGCTGAAATTACAAGCTGCTAGTGAAAGCCTTGCCTTGCGTGTTGATCCACCATATACCCATCCCTATCTGCTTCCTACTGTGCACGTAACAAACTTTAAATAAAGCAAGAGCTAGAGTCCAACCAGCCTTCATTACAAAGACCTACCTTCACTACAGAGACAGGACTTGATTGCAAATACTCTCAAAAGATAACGTATACTTTAATTATAATTTTTTTATTTTCCTGCACCACTCTAATCCACAGAGGCACCCTCAGCTTGGATAAGCTGCCTATTGCTGTCTGTCTGTAGTGCACTCTCTATTTTGCTGTCTTAGTAGGCAAAATAAACCTTTTCCAGCAACATTGCAGAGGATTATGTTGATATAAAGACTTAGGGACTGCATTCCCACCTGGTGTAAGCAGAAATAACTATTTTGACTTCGGTGAGGTAGAGCCAACGTTGACCAGTTTAAGACCCAGTTTACAGTGGTTTCTGCTTACCCACAGCCAGTCTAATAGGACACCATCAGCACCACTCACTCACTAAGGCCAGAAACTGGTGCCTCCCTGTCCACCTTACTTGGCACCAGAGTCAAAAATTATTGCAGGGAAATACCTGGGTTTTTATCTAGCAGGAGAGAGGTGGACAAAATTACAGCTGAAAATGCAACATTTCTTTTGATTTTCATCAGTTCTCGGTTGTTTTACGTATTTTGTTCAGTTTCTGGTGGTCTTTCCCAACCTTGGTATTCTGTGAAAAGCTGCTTAAGACTTAGTCCGCACATTATCCCAGAGTAATAGCTGGTATATATATAAAACACTTGCAACAAGGAATTGCTTAACCTCCCTGTGAAGCCCATCGATGATGGAAATTTAACTTACCCCAGACTGCCTGTTCCAGTGTCTTACTGTCCCTGCTGTTAACAAGTTGTTCTGTCAGGAATTTCAATCCACTTTTGTTTTGTCAAAGATGGACAAGGAGATTAGATTGGTTCTTTCTTCTACAGAAGCCTATTTAGATGAAACAAATCAAATTCAACTAATTCTGAATTCACACTTTTTACGGAGGAGGGGTACGCCCTTCTGCATTTGGATTCTTTAGGAAAAAAAAAAAAAAAAAGAAAAAGAGATTATGTTTTTCACCAAAACAATTAACATTTTTGTCATAGTGAGCATTTCCAAAAGTAAAATAAGGCATGTTCTGACAATGTCTCTGTCTTCATTCATCAGAGTTGCCAATCCAAAAGCTCTCAAACAGCAAAACGCTTACAAGAGAACAAAAGGCAAGCCCTGTTTTACACAACACTGAACACAGATTCCGATTCTCAAGCAATGGCACTTTTGTTTGAATAAAGGTAGAAAATAAATGTAAGGCTTGTGGCACTGCCTGTGGTCTGGGCTCGGAGACAGCCATCACAGAAGCCCATTCTCCTCCTGTGAACGTAGCTAAATAGGCCATGTCTCCAACAGCCAGAAGTTCATCATTGAACAATGGAAGTAGCAAGTTGAAAGAGGGAATTTAATGAGGAAAGAAGACGGGTAGAAAGAATTCAGATGAGCGAAGAGAGACAGGAGCAGCTGGTGTGTTACAGCTGTTGGAGAAAAAGTGTTTTCTATCTCAAAAAAAACCTCAAAATAAATGGATATCTTTTGGATTGCAAATTTTTTATTTCTTTTTTTTTTTTTTTCCAAAACTTAAAATAAGCAAAAAAAAACCCTACCCTACCAAAAAACCCTGCCTTCTTTTCCTACTGGACTAAAGCCAAACAAGAGGGAGGAAGAAAATGAGAAGGATATGCAAAGAATCAAAATGTTCAGTGATCAAAATTGGAGATATTTTAACCCAAACAACAGCTTTCTGCTAAAATTCTCACTTTGGTTAAAAAGCTGTTCTGTGCTTAAATACACACAAAGTAGGAGAGAGAGGGATTTTAACTAAAATTATTTTAACCAGTTCAGTATGTTTTCTCCTGCTTGTGTCTTCCACACTTCAAGAATTTAGAGAAAGATTAAAAAAACTGCAACTCCCAATAAATGTGAAAATCAGATGAACTGGTAGGATTTGTCACTATTTGCCTTTATTGTGAAACCTCAAGAAACAATCCTGACTGAAAACCACCTGCAACACGTAACGATGCAAAGAACTGTTAGAGTATATAAAATCCTGTGTATCCCTCTGAAATCCAGTGAAAATCATTAGTGAGCGCTTTAACTTGCCCTGCCACAGCTTTTTCAGTCTCCTAATCATATCAACTCCTGAGCTTTTCTATCCATTTTGGAAACATGATTTATCTTGGGATTAAACTATAGTCATCTTCCTTCTACTCTAATTTTTAAAAAGCAACTCCTAGGAACTAAAAAAAAGAAGCCATTCTTACAGTTCCATTTCCCAGCCATTATTATATTAAGAAATATCTCAGTTCAAATGGCTTAAATTTTCTAATCCTGAATAACCTAAAGGATGAGGAGTGACCTTGCTTTATATCAAATCAAATGTGATGCAATGGCACTGTTTAAATCCCAGACAGTTCATCAGCAAACGCCAACATCACCACGTTTATTAGTGAAATGAATGTCTGAAATTGTCCAAAATTCGGTAGTGGGGTGATGAAGCATTACACTTTTGTCAGCAGAGGCCTGCCAGTGGTGCAGACATGCCTAAGGTAGACACATAAACATGTATCATGTGGAGCTCATGATGGGCGTCTATCCGGCGCTCCAGGGCATGGGGCAGAGATCCTTCGGCTGCTGTCAGACTCTGGAAGAAAAGTAAAAACACGGTTGTTGAACCAAGGTGTTACAGCTTACCTGCCAGTCTGGGCTAACGTGACCAACTACCACCCTGAGCTGGCTCTGTTGCTCTTAGCAAGAGCCTGTCTCATCATCGTTGATGCCCCTGTGAACAAGGATGAGGATACACTATCTTACAAGAGTTTTATGAACCTGCTCAGGCTGTAGTTACCCTCTGTGAGCTGTAGCACATTGACAAACAGAGATACGCCGCTCTTGGATTGAGTTCAGTAGCCACAGATCAAGACAGCAATCAGTCCATGAGACCCGGACACCACACCCCTAAGGACAAGTACACATATACAGGACACCTACAGTCCATGTGCAGATCTGTGGTGAAGGGAAGAAGGCAAAATCTCCAGGGAGGCATTAAACAAAGATGAAACGTGGCACCAAAACAGTCTTCGGGTCCACAGAAGCATCTGGAAGGATCAGCAGAGGGCAAAGGGTTTGGATGAGCATCGCCTGGAGTGGGAAAGGGCTCCAACAAGACCCAAAGAAAAATTCCTGTTTGATTATCCCTAGCATGTGCCCAGATCAATATGGCTTTGCATCAACTGGATCGCATGTCTCTGTCAAATTCAAACCACAAATACCTCCAGACCCTGTTTCAAGATAGCCAGAGGCACCGAGGATCGGTAGCCCCGTGGCAGACTGCTCAGCAGAGGCCTGACTTCTAATCTAGTCTCTATCCATAGGGTGCTGTGTCATCATTTGTTGTTTAGCCTGGGCTCTTCCTCCTGCTCCAAAATTTTGTCTGACGTATTTGCATTGAAAATTGTTTAGTCTAAACTCCGACTTTTAAGTCTGCATTTGTCCAGCACTTAATCCAGCAGCAACCTCGGTATCTTATCATCCATTGTGTATCTCTAAAGTGAGGCTCCAATCTTTAATTTATAGATCTGTAGAAAGGCCCTGATGTAAGCTTCTAGGCAGTAATGGCTATATAAATCACAGCAACAAGAAGCTTATAGCCAAGAAGATTTTTCCTGATATTCAGCCTGAATTTTCCCTTTCTTAATTTAATCCCGTAGCTCTTCAAAATGCTGCAGTGACCTGCCCCAGTTAATCCTAACCCTCCTTTGGGTTTGTGGCGTACAATTTAGAGTTGTCCAGAAAACACAGATTCCATTCAGTGCTACAATTACAGATTCAGAATGCATTTTCATTATGTGTTTGAACAGACAGGCAACAGTCTAAACTTGGTGTTGAAGAACTGAGGCAGGGAGGGTTGTTATACAGGGGTCAGCTCTGAGCCCTAAAAGAAACAGTCAAGGCTTGGACTTCTCCCACCCACTTTCTCCCGGAGTATCCATCTGAGAATCCTGGCCCCAGAGCCAGCCTTAGCTGTTCCCTTTGGCCAAAACACCTGGTGATACAAAAGGCACATTTTTTTGGTAAAATTGCTTTTTGCAAGAGCAGATTTATTAAAACAAATACATTTCCCATAACATTTCTACTTTAAAAACTTCTCTTTCTCCCATAGGAATAAATGTTTCCCCAGTAATTCCCCCCAACTGCCACCTCGTTTCTTCCTAACACTCTTACTGCCCTACCCCCATGACATCCAAGAAAGCTATGCATAGGCGCTGTCTTACATTTTCCCTTTCAATTCCCATGAGAATTTTTTTTGGCTTAAAAATAAAAAAAGCATTCCCATTAGCAATATTGTGTTTTGTTCTGGGCATTGCATTAGGCAGAAAAGGAGCAGAAATGGCAAAACACTATTACCAGCCCACAAAGAGTGATGAATTACCTATATTTTCTAGATGCTTATTCAAAGTATTCCTGGATTTTCAAATGTTTACTGTGTTTGCTCTCTCCTTATGCATTTCAAGCATCGTGCAATGTTGTACACGTGCAATGAGAGGCAAGGGCAAGACCGGAATGTTTTACTGTAAAAATCACTTAGCTAGAAATTTGATTTCCTTCAATTTTCTGATTTTTTTTTCCACTAGGGAGCAACAAGCATATTGTAACTGAACTGACAATCATAGTGTCTTACTTAAAATGAAATTGTCAAAATATTGTGTCAGGGATCTTGTATAAAGTGATTTCTTTGGCTGTCACTCATACTTGCCATCCTAAAGAGTCTGGTTACTATTAACAAATATACTCAACACATAAATAATCTCAAAACATAGATACAGCTGAAGTTAGGAACACCCAGAAATATTAATAGCAGCAATAATCTAACCTTTGAGATAATGTTCAGACAAAAAAAAAAAAAAATGAAAGCAAGAAAATCCAAATTAAAGAATAATGTAAAAAGCAAATCTTTTGAAACAAGAAATTTAATATTGACAGTTAGCAAATGCCATTAACTCTGTCCTCATATACCATCTAATTATGTGTTTGTGCTGTGCAAATAATGATAATGATGCAGTGTGTTCCAATTTATGCCCATTTTTACGGTGTATAATATCATTACAAGAGCTGTAGCATTTTAGCAAAACGACATCTTTCATATCTGTATTAGTAACTGAAGAGCTGGTCCAATACCTACGATGCAAAATGGCAGTTACAGAGATACTTGCTTTCTCATGGGCCCAACCTCAAGTTCTTCTGAACTGCTGTCTCAGAGCATTAATCTGAGCAATAAATTATGAGAAAGGGTTGCGGGGAAAAAAGGCCCAAACGCAGCAGCCCAGAGCTTTGTACGGGGACTCCAAATTGTTTTTGTAAGGTACTACCTGTGTACTAGAGGCTTTGTTAAAAGCCGTCACTGGCAGATGCAGCGCTCCGCTCCACGGGGGATGATGTCACGCTGTGAATTGACTTGTGCCACTGCTAATCCGCCCGGTCTGGGGATGAAAACCCCAAATGGGGAGAGATTTAGGCAAGACTGGGACGTGTGCAACCCACTCCAACTGCTCTGTGCTGTGTGTTCGAGGTGTGAGAGAGAAGGTTTCTAGATCCAGCTATAACAGCTGATGCCTCCAGCAGCTCTAGTCCAGGATGGTGCCAGGATGAGCCCTTTCCCCACGGGAAGCACCAACAAAAGATGCCAAGGTGCAGGGAACGGGTGGCCTTGACCTCCCCCCCACACCAGACCTTCCAAGTCACTACGCCTACAATGTTTTCCCATAAAGCCAACCAGATTTTCCCATCAGCTGTCAAGCTGACC